GCCTCTGGATATAGAATTTGACATGGTGCATGATAACAGATAACAAATAATCAGAGTTGGAAGGGACCTTATAGGTTATCTAGTCCAGGGGTCGCTAACCTTTTGGACCTCAGGGACCACCAAACTCATAATTTTAGACCACTAACTGGTTCTGTGGGTGTGACCTAATTTGTGGGTGTGGCTTGGTGGTCATGTGACTGGCTGGGCATGGCTTGTATGTAAATATTATAAATATTTATATAAATATTGAATTTATAAAAAAAGAAAGTTTTACCCAAAATCAGGCAAAGCAGGCAGGCAGATTGAGTTGCTCACAGAATCACAGATTCATTCAGAAATCTATCTGCCATCGGCTAGCTCAGTCTGTCACATTCTGTCAAAATTTGCTTGCAAGCAAACTCATAAAATTAACTCACAACACACCATGCATGTAAATATTAAATTTTTTATTTAAAAAAGAGCAACTTTTACCCAAAATCAGGCAAAGCAGGCAGGCAGATTGAGTTGCTCACAGAATCATTCAGTGATCTATCTGCCATCCATCGGCTAGCTCAGTCTCAAATTTGCTTGCTGTGAGTCTGCACTGAATTTGCTTGCAAAATTCAGTCCTAAGGGAGGTTTGGCTGTGCTTAGCTAGAAAGCAAGAAATCCAACCATTTCCTGCTTCCTAGCTAATCTAAATCTCCCAGCACAGCAGAACAGATGATGGACTGAAAAAGGAAAAATAGCAACTTAGCAGACAAGTTTGCCAGGTAAGAAGTGAGTGGGCGGGGAGGGTTCTCGTGTGCCATGTGGGCTGAGCAGACTTGTGTTTCTGCACAGCCTGAATTAATTGCTTTTGACGGGTGCTCTGGGGGTGAGATTTCTCTGCCACCCACCAAAATTTTCTCACAGCCCACCAGTGGACTGCGGCCCACCGGTTGGCGACTGCTGATCTAGTCCAACCCCCCCCCCCAAGCAGGAGACCCTACCCCATTTCTGACAAATGGCAGTCCAATTTCTTCTTGAAAGTCTCAAGTGATAGCGCTCCCACAACTTCCTAGGGCAAGCTGATCTGACTGACTGCTAAATTGCTGGAGATTCCTAAAAGTGGCAGCTGAAAATTAGACAAATCCATGAGGAGCAATGTCCTAATGGCTCCTACTTCCCTAGGGAGGGTTATTGTGGCAACTAAAAAGTGGCTTGATATAATACTTTATAATTACAGATCACATTGCATAAATACCAGATCAAGAATATGACCACTTCATTATTTGGCCCCATGCTGACATGGGACAAGTCCATAATATTTATGAAATACCAAGTCAACTCTGACCTCAACCCCAGGGAAGAAAGGCTAACATCTTCTGACACAAACAACCCTGGAGAATCAACCATAAATCTTTTAGTAAGATCAAGCAGTTCATAAAAAAAAGATGACGTTGAGCAACCAGATAAGCAATTCAACAATACTCCTGTTGAGCTTACTTTAATAAACAAGGCTTCATATCTTGTTAACCTGTGGTACAGTGTGTCTGATACCAATCAGACTCTCCCAAAGTATTGCCAGGATCTTTCTCCTACTTAGTACTCATGGAGAATATAGCAATGGAAGCCAGGGCCAATTTCAGATGGGGAAAGTCTTTTTCCTTGACCTATCTGCAAAGAGCTGAATAAGAGGATAATCATTTCCCAGAAAAAGGTCATTCATCTCTGCACATTATTAAGAATACAGGTAAACAGCCTTCAATATTTATGTAGTTATGTAATGATGCAAATTATGTCATGTGGAATCCTTAAATTATATTTAATATTTTGCACTTATTCCTTGTATATTAGTATTGTGCATAGGCCAAAGTGAAGTAGTTACACATTGCTTATTTTTATTTTATAGGCATAGATCCAGGTCAAGGTCTCGTGAACGTCGCTCTAGATCCAGAGATCGTGGTCGTGGAGGAGGAGGAGGAGGTGGTGGTGGTGGTGGTGGAGGAGGAGGAGGAGGAGGAGGAGGGGGCCGAGAACGTGATAGAAGGCGGTCAAGAGATCGTGAAAGATCTGGACGATTCTGAGCCATGCCATTTCTACCTTCTCTGTTAGAAAGTGTTGTAGTTGATTGACCAAACAAGTTCATAATGAAACTTTTTTTAAAAAAAGATGGGCTTCTGAATAAAAATTTGTAGTGATACAGTTTTCTTTGTGTAACTGATTTCTTATAGAAAAACTCTTTTATCAGTTTTGACCCTGATGAATGATTTGGGTAATTGCAATGTACTGCAGATACCTGATTTTTACATTTAGATATGGATGAAACTATTAATGTGTATAATAAAGTATTATATACATTAAAATACAGTTAAGCGGTTTAATTTGTTCCTCTTCTGTTTCTGCTTATTTAGGTTAGCCTAGGCACATTAAACTAAAGCTGTGCAAGGAGCATTTCTTTACTCCGTCAAATGCTTAGTTACATTAATCTGTATGTTTCTTTGTTACTAAGAAAATTGTGCTCTGTGGATGTGGCATTTACAATAAATCCAATTTTTGACTTAAAAATTTAAAGCCTATTCTCTAAGCATTCCTGAGTAGTTGCAACTCCCAAGTATGCCTCCCCAGACAATCCAATAAAATCATTTTTAGTTACCATACTCTGTTTTATCATAAGTGCCATAGTAAAGCTAAACTTGTTGGGGTAGGGTTATCTCATAAAAGGATAGCAAGAAGTTCTGTGTTGCAGTTTGGTTGTAGGAAAATTGATGGGCAAAAGTGACTTGCATTAGATTCATAATTCAGATTTTTACGAACTCCATAATCAGAGTTACTAGTTCACCCACAATTGATAATCATATTTGTATGCTTTCACTTAGTAATTTATACAGTATACCTTCCTACAATTGATTCCAAAAACAGTTAACATGATGAATAAATTATGCAGAACAGTAGCAACATAAATATTGACAATTCCTGGCCATCATTAAAAACAATTTTTGAAAATGTAACATTTAATGGCAGAAAATTTATCTTCATCATTAGAAACTGAACATCAGTGAGACACATCAAATCTTGAATGCTGTTTTTGGCAACTATCTCATTTTAGCTAGTTCTGGAATGAATGGAACAAAATAATCCTTCCAAATTATCAGTTTGCCTAAACTTTGTTAGTTGCTGATGAAAGATAAGCTGCCAAAGAGGCAGATTCCTACAGAAAGAAATATACAGTTGGTTGCTTCCAGTTCAGAGTCTTGCTTTTCTGTAAGTCTTGCTTTTCATTTGTTACGTTTATATATTTCCTATAGGACTCCTAAGGCAGCATACTAAAAATCTTGTTTTCCTGTATCTCACAAACACCTTTGGGAGATAGATTGGATTGAAACAAAAGAACGTCTTTCCTAGATTTTAGAGAATTTTCTAAAAATAAGATTAAGACACTTATAAACCTGGGCTACTTTATTGGGAGTGCAAAAATCTGAGATAAGACTGCTGCAGCAACGAGAAGTCTGTTTTTCCTTGTTGCCATCTGGTGGTAATTCACAAACCGTGGAAATTTTCAGCAGATTGCCTATTCTATCGTTTGTAAAATGGAGCACAGGGGAAGGTGGGAACAGTACAGTGTTACCGACGTACGTTTGAAGAAACGGTTGCTTGAATTACGGCCGAGGATGAATCAGCAAAGGAAGAAACAGGTCAGGCGTTCGCGTAGAAATTAAAGAACCCGTCATGAGTCAGCACAGACTAGCGAATCGCCGGACGGGAAGGGTGATTCCGCGTGTAAACGTAACTAGACGGATGTCACACTTCGCTCTTGCGCAAAAGCTCCGCTTCCTTCTTCGAAAAACGAGCCGGAGGCGTAGCCAGTCTGACGCCTTAAAATAAATCCTATGGGGCGTCTTCTGATTGGAAGACGACAACCAAAAACTACAACCTGCGTTCCTCGCTGCTGGTGGAGATTTAAAAAAAAAAAAGTATAGCGGAACAGTCTGAAAATGTTAACAAGCAAGCTTGACGCTCTGATGTTTAAGAAACAAGCCTCTTTCGCTAAGCAGACCTCTGAGGCTACTGCACTGGAGACTTAATAAAATATACTAAAATTGCTATATCTGCAAAAAAATGGCAAATAGGTGGAATATGGTAAATGATGGAATTTGCTACCTCAAGATGAGGTAAAGATTGTCAGCTTGGATGACTTTAAAAGGAGAATTAGATCAACTTCTTAAATCAATGGCTACTAATCATAATAGGTTCATATTAGGTACATAAGATCTTGAATATTAGTTGCTTTAACATCCAAACTGGAGGGTGCCAAAGCATTTGATTAGATGGGTTCTTTGATCCGGCAGAGGTGAGCTCTCCTAATATTTTTATGCTTGTATATAGCATTTAACCGAATATTTAACGAAGCGTTTAAAATGCCTTCCAAATATTTCTCCAAATTTTTTAAATATTATTTAAATTTTTATCTTGTCTCTCAAGGTTCTCAAAATGTCCAGCAATAGCACACAGAAATAATTAAACAGGTAAAGGAGTGCATCAACCATAAATCAAATATCAGATGGTGCTGTAGCTGTCTCCTAAGCCCCTGCATTAATAAAGGAAAGAATGAGGCAAGACATTGTGAATTCCAACATTCAAGTTCAATCGGGAACTTCTGAACAGGGCACCGGAGAAAAATCTCCCCATTAGCTTTCTTACGGGAAGCATATGTAGTTATTGAAACATTGTTTGCCTGTTGTTTGGCTTGGAGAAGGCGTGGAAATATGGCGTAAACCCAGAGTAACCACAAAATTCTGAGCTCCATCCTAACTCAGCGTTGTCTCGTTTTAACGCCCTGACGAGAAAGCTATATAATCCCACCCACCCCCAACAGAAAATCCAATCGTCGTCAATCGCTGGGCAAGACGAACAAGCAATGCGCGCACGTTGCTGCACTGAGGCAGTACCTTCTCATTGGTTATTCTCATTGGCTATTGCCCCTCACGCCCTCCTTCCAGCCAATCACGGCTTACTCTTTCCCTAAAAGATAAGGTGGGTTGGGAAAGAGCTTCGCACACGCTGCGCTCCGGGTTGCCCGGTGAGTATCTTCTGCGGAGAGCGGTTTCCATCTACCCGCGTGAAATTTGTTGCCCCTTTTCTCATTTTAATAAAGCAAGTAAGAATTAGTGGTGCAGTAGTAGTAGAAGGAAACACACTTATTTCTGTAATAATTGAGTTTATGATACGGTTCCTGTGTTTATCAGGGCACTAATAAAGTGCAATCCCTATCCCGAATTCGGCTGCTAATTCCTATTGCCGGTGCCGCCTAAGCCTGGTAGAAATGGGGAGTATATTAACAGCTGGAAGGCCAGTTTCCCTACCTCGCAGTAAAGTACCACCTCAGGAGCTTATTTCATCTAATAAGGGGAGGGAGGAGACAAATAGTGAGATGGGGCAACTGCAGCTCTAAATTTACAGAGCTGGTGAGGAGGGTTCTTTGTTCATGAAATGCTTGGCGAGAGACCTCTATTTCTTCTCCCCCACCTTGTGGTTGCATCATCCTGTAGTAGGACAGATGAGGTGGAGGCAGAATCTTGAGGAAAACGTAGTGGCATTCAATAATTGTTTTAATTCTCCTTTTTAATATGTTCCCCAAACATTCTTAATGAGTAGTGAAGAATAGCATATTGGAAGATAAAGTTCTACTTTTCTTGACGGCTCCTATACTTCCGCTTCTTCTTTTAACATAAAATAGACATGTACATTGAGAGCTAGAGCTGTGTAATGATACATAACTCAAATGCCCTGTTTGCATTTCCCAGGTGTGTTTGAGGGACCCCTAGCTGTGAAAGAGTTTTCTTAGGTTGATACAACATGGTTATGTTTACTCAGCACTAAGTTCTGAGTTTATTGAGTTAATTCTTAATTAGCTGTATGTAACTTGGGGTAGTTTAACAATTGATGAGACTTTAGTTCAGAAATAAAATATGTGAGATTAAGTTATAGTCACCTGTCTCTATTGTCTTAGCTCACCCTACTCAAACCAACAATGTTAGTGCACTCCGGGTGCCCTTTATTAGGCAGGATCATCTTGTGGGACCTAAGAATCATGCCTTTGTCATAGGGTCCTCTTATGGAACAGGCATTATCTTGTTTTTCCCCATATATTTATAAAGAAAATGAGATCTGCCTTTTTTAATAATATGAAAGTTGAAGCAGATGCAGAATTTAATGGTGGTATTGAGTTATATCAACCTAATATTAATTTGGATATATAGTACTTGTAAAGTTGGGGGCATATTCTGGGATTCTTAATCTACAAACATTACCAAAACACAATATGATGGAATTTTTTGTCAAGTGGAGCCAGAGCATATATGTATAAAACAATATGACTTACCTATACTTGACATGTGCTGAGTACATTTCTTTCTCTTTTTTTAATTCCTGTGAAGCAAAATAAAAACAGATCCCTCCTTGGATTCCTTTTGAACCAAAAGAGCAAATCCCAACATGAGTGGAACTGGTAATAGAGATGTTGCATGGAATTGCAGGGACTTGTTTTAAAATGATTAAGATGATTTTGGAATGTAATTTACAAAATGTTTAATATGAAGGGATTTAATAGCCCAATTTAAAAGTATCTACCAATTTGGTGTTGCAAGGGGTTGCATGCCATACCCACCCTTCAGGCTAAATGTCAGTCTTTCTCAGTTAATATGCCAATGGTGGTGTTCTGGTTTTGTTCTCTGCAAACTACTTTCTGCCAAGAATTTAACTGCTGTCCCTCTGCCAAGGAATAATAAAGTGTAGAAGCTAGTATAATACAACCCTTTCAAGTTATAAAGATAACATAATTATGCATAGTCCATCTATTTGTATATAAAATGTCATAAAGATATTGTACATAATTGGTTTCTTTTCAGTAATTGGGAATCTTGAATAAGCATAGTATTATCCATAGTATTCTTTACAGCTTATTTATTTTTATTAGTTGGATAAAGTGATACAGATCAATGAAATCCATTTTCTGCTCTTTGATAAATAGTAACATGATGCTGTTGCATGATCTGTTCATATTAAATTTATGAGCATGTTACATGTATTTGTTTGTTTTATCCTGCCTTGTTATTAACTTATGGAAGCATGCATGCCAAATACTTCTGTCTTCTATTTTTCCCACAACAATAAACCAGTAAGGTGAATTGGGCTGAGGAAAACTGAGAATAGATCCAAAGTCTCCCTGTTGGCTTTCATATCTAAGGGAAGACTAAAGAGCTTCTAGTTTCTAGCCCAACAGCTTAACCATCGCACCCAACTGACTATCTCTTTTAAACCTTTTTACAGTTAAAGCAACTTTGGGTTGAATTATAGTAGTTTTAATTTTAGGATGAATGAAAGTATATTATAGATACCAGAATTCTTTTTTACTCCAATCTCTCTATTTAAAAGCGGATAACAGCAAATACTGTTTCAGTTTCCAAACAGCCCTCAACTCTCTCACTGACAGGATGCTAGCCAGATTAATAACATCAAGTACAGTGTTTTTCAAACGTAGCAACTTTAAATTGCATGGACTTCCCATATATTGACATGCTGATTGGAAAATTTTGGAAGTCCCCACATCTTAATGTTGTCAAGTTTGATAAGCACTGATTTAGTGGTTTTCCTGGTTTAATAATAATTTCTATGATTTTAATCTTTTTTTGTTTTAGTGTATTTGAATGGTTTAAAATTCTGTATAAAACTGCCTGATAGGTTTAGAAAGAGTGATATGAAATGAAAAAAATATAATATTACAGTAATATAATAATTATGGAATTTATCATAATAATGTAATAGAACAGAGCTTTCCAACCTTGGCAGCTTTAAGTCTTGCGGACTTCAACTCCCAGAGTTCCTTAGCCAGCTTAAAGTTGCCAAGGTTGGAGATCCCTGTAATAGAATATGGAAAGATAACAGTATGTCTTATCTTCTGATACGGCATCAGATAATTGAGGCCGCCGCCTCAAAATCTTTTTGGCACTTGACTTCAGTTTCTCTTTTCATCTCCAGAGCTCACTAGTTCAGAGCTCTTTTGCCCTCTAGATAAAACAGTCCCATCTTCTACCAGATAATAATTTCTCCTTGCATACAAATAAGCTGTTTTACCCACTGAGTGCCTTAAGCTTTTTTTTTTTTTGGGGGGGGGGGGGGTGTTGATGTGTTATTTATAATTGGAAATTAGTCACTGAATTAGAAAAATATATAAAAGAAACATGAAGTATCATTTACACTATATACACTGACCAATGATTTCTGGTTATTTACAAAATTGAATAATTGTGTTGTTCATATGTCTGCTTTTGCCCCCATCTGCCTATGGATGACTGTATCTACCATAATCCTGTTCCTGAAGCTATGCTAGTTTTTTTCTAATTACCAATATGCTTGTAGTTAACTGTTTATCCCATAGATCCATCACTTCATCATAAAAATGCTACGTTACTTGGGGCGGGGAGAGGAGGGAGGAGATACTCTAGATATAGGCTTTTGATTTTCTGTAACTTAAAAAAACGTAAAATTACCGAACCGGTAGTAATGCCAGTTGAATCCCACCCCTGCCTACTACCACCTCCCATCCTATATCATAAGCCAACAGCCCATTATAGTTAACTTATTCGGAAACTGTAACTACAGAAATATATGTAGACCCGTGATCTGGTGACACCATTCAAATTGAGACTCCATGTAGTTTACTACCGCTATGCAACCAGTATCCTGAAAGCCTTTGGGCAGCCTCTTTATCTCAGATCGGGAGAGTCTGTTCTTCATACTCCATATGGCTATCTATTAGCTCACCACCACACATCCGTCTGATCTTGATGATAGGAAAAACTTTCCATTAGGAAGAGTGTGGCTAATAATCCATGTCAGCCCCACTAGACAGTGCAAATCAGAAAATCAATTCCACTGGAATGCTAGAACTATGCTTTATTAACATAGGCTACATAACAATCTTCTAAGTCTAATTCAATCATTTATCTCCCCTCAGTGAATCAGAGAGGTGTATGCCTGAGCTGCTCTGAATGTCATTTTACTTTTCTGGTCTTAAGAGAGTTTCAATCCTCTTTGCCTAAGTAACAGTTCTGAATACTTCTGAGAATATCATCTTCCTTAGTTTGTAGAACGGGGATAGCCATAAGAGCCATAATCTTGAACTGGTTATTTGTAGCGCTTCAAATATATAGACTCTCATGTAACCTGAGTGGAAAGAAATATAAGCCACCCTAATTTTTGAACCATCTTCCCTCTGTTTGGTGCAAGCATGTGGTATAGTGCCACATAGTCCCTAGCTTTGCCTTCCTTGTTTTGAATCTTCTGGAAAGAAGAAATAATTTTTAAAATCCCCACAGATTCAACCAATTTAAATGTCTCCTATCACCACTTCTGATCACTGAGTCAGCAAAATCAGTTCTGTTGGTGATGGGTCTTCTAGTTGGTAGATCAATACTCAGAATTCACTGTCCATGTTGTAGTGGATCCCTCCATGTTAATCACTTCATAAGAATTTTGAGGTCTTTGTAGTAATAAATTATTTAAACTTGCTTCCAATCATAAATTTGCAGCCTCATTTGGTCCATAACCTGCCCAAAAACTTTGTACATGTCCTAATCTTACAACTAAATATCTTTCTTAATAACAACAGATAAGCTTATTCTGATTATACCTCCGCCAAAACCTTACATCCTTAACTAAACTGACCAGTCACCAAACAATATGGGAAAATATTGTACATAACATTTGATGACCTAAATGGCCCATTCCAATTTTATGATTGTTACATAGGCTTTGAACATTGTACGCTGAACTAAAATCAGAATTTTTGGTATATTTATTAATCTGCAATAGAAAGGCAATTCATCTAAATAATTAACTGGACTCAAGTAGTCAGTTTTACGGTTAATATGTGAAAGGTACAAATAATTTCAAACTTCCGGCCTTGAGAAAAGTCTGACTGTGGATATTCACCCACTTTGTAATAGAAAAGCAGAACTTTTTTAACTTCCCTTCTTGCATCATTCATGTCCATCCTGTTTATTTTTCAAATTTTCTTTT